TGGTCATGTTGTAAGATGGGACCATTCCCTGGAGAAGGATGTCATGCTTGGTAGGGTGGAGGGTCGACGAAAGAGGGGGAGACCTTCAGGGAGATGGATTGATACAGTGGCTGCGATGATGGGCTTGAGTATAGCATGGATTGTGGGGCTGGCGCGGGATCGGGCAGTTTTCGTTCTGCTGTGCATGGGGTCACTATGAGTCGGAAACGACTCTACGGCACTTAATAACAACAACAACAACAACTGCTATGGACTTTTGTATTTCTCTTTTCAATTCTATTGTTTGATTTTTTTATTTTGGGGCTTATTCATTGGGTTCGTAGATATTTATTATGGTTATGGTCTCTTGTTAGATGGATCACTTAATCCTTTTAAAAACGTGCTTCTTTGTCTGTTATAAGTGGTTTTTGTCTTAAAGTCTATTTTATCTGGAATTAACATTGCAACTGCTGCTGTTTGTTGATTGCCATTTATTTGTTTGTTTGTTTTCCCAACTTTTGTCTTTGTGTCTAAGTTGTATCTTTTGTTGACATATATTGATGCGTCATATTTTCTTATCCATTCCACAATTCTTTCTCTTCATTGGTGCACTTAATCTATTTACATTTAGGGAAATCATCAACAACAATTAATTTATTGCTGTCATTTTGTAATGTGTTTTTCCTGATATTGCTGATTTATTTGCTCCATATTATTTTCTCTGCTGAGCTCATCTTGTTTATGATTTTTAAAATCAGTTCCTTCATTACTACCGTTTAGTATTTCTAAACATTTGTGCCTTTCCTCTTTTTTATTTTGATGACAAGGTTCATTGATTTCCTTTGAGTTTACCCTATGATTTGTTCTTTTCTTCACAAGGTTAAAGCAGTCCTTTCTTTCTCAAAGTCTTCTTGACATCCTCCCCATTTGGAAGTTCTGTACCTACACTATGTATTCTCTCTTTTTTGCTTTATAATCATCCTTAGTTACTATTTCATATCTCTGATTGCCTGTTGAGTCTTGTAGGTTGATTTTACTCAGGATACTTCTATATCTGGGTTAGTTTCTGAGATATGCTGTCAAGTGTGTTAATCATTGGTTATTGTCTGCTGTTGTTGATTCTCTCTCTAAAGGACTCCCTTTACCATCTCTTATAAGGTTGGTCTGTTTTTTACAAACTCCCTTAATTTCTCTTTATCTGGAAATGTCCTAATTTCACCATCATATCTGAGAGACAATTTTACTGGGTATATAATTCTTGTTTGTTTATATATATATATATATATATATATATATATATAAGCTCTCTGATGGCATAGTGTCTAAGGCATTTGACTGCTAACCAAAAGGCTGGAGGCTCAAACCCACGAGCTACTCCTCAGAAGGAAGATTGGACAATCTACTTCCATAGAGGTTCTGTCCTGCATATTCATGTTCCTGCTGAGGAATCAGAGATTATTCTTATTTATTGCCCTTTGTATTTATTGTCATTGTTCCCTGCTGCTTTCAGGATTTCCTCTTTGTCTCCTTTATCAGAAATTTGATTATATCTTGGTGATTTCCTTTTGGGTTCCATCCTGCTTGGAGTTCATTAAAATTGTTGAATGTGCATCTTTTTTTCATCATTGTAGAGAATTGCTCTTCAAAAAAATCTTTAACAATTTTCTCTATGGTTTTATTCATCTCTTCCTGTTCTAGAATTACAATCATACTTTACTTTTTCCTCTTGATGGTTTCCTAAATAAATCTTAGCCTTTCTTCATTTTTTTCTTCTTTGTTCTGATTATTCCCTTAACAAAGTCATATTGTGAGATTTGACTTAAATTTCAGTAATTCCATCTCCATTGATTTGCTGTTATTCTCTGTCTTTCATTTTGTTACCAACTTCTGAAATCTTAGTATTAATCTCCTGGATTTCTATTTACTGTTTATATATGGTTTCTAAGTTTTCATTCATTTTGTCAATTTGTTCTTGTATTGTTTTTCTAAATTCTTCTAAAGTTTTGTCTATGTTTTCTTTAATTTTTTCAGTGTTTTCATTGATTTTGTTACATTTTTCCCTTGAACTCTCTCTCAATCTATTGAAGGTACCTAAATATAATTATTTTAAATGCCTTATCAGGTAGTTCTTCCTCAAGGAAGTTTCTTTGCTCTGCATTCTTGTATAAAGTTTCCAATATTTTATCTTACTTCTTTGTGTGATATAGAATTGTTAGTTGTTTCTGAGACATTGATACGTCACTGTATTTATATCTAACAGGCAAAAGTATGGTGGAGTCATTTGCCCAGTGAGCAGGGCTTGTGTGCTACTCTATACTCTATTCACTAGTTTGCCAGCAATTAGCCACTCACACACTTTATCCTGGAGAGTGTCATAGAGGATGAAGCTCTTCATGTACAGCAGTTAGGGTGATTGAGCTACTATCAGCTGACCTTTATTGTTGGTCACTTGGTGCAGAAGCACTTGGCAGCACTTAGCCAGTATGTGGGCTGCAGGATGCAAGATATATATATATGTGTGTGGGGGGGGGTGTGGGTGTGTGTAGGAGCTCTGGTAGCATAGTGCCTAAGGCATTTGACTGCTAACCAGAAGGCTGGCAGTTCAAACCCACCAGCCACTCCTCGGAAGGAAGGTTGGGCAATCCTACTTCTGTAGTGATACTGCCTCGGAACCCCAAGGAGGGGTCGCTATGAGTCGGGGCAACTCGACAGCAAATAATAACAACAATATGTGTGTGTATACATACACTTACATATATTATACATACATATATATGTATGTATAATATCTGTATTATATGTGTATATACATGTATGTATGTGTATGCATGCATGCATGTGTACATACGTATCTATGTGTAGGTATGTATGTGTATGTGTGTGTGTATGTATGTATATATGTATGTATATATGCACATGTTCAAGCCAAGTGCTCTTCTAATTAAATCAAAAACTGTAGTGGTGGGACAAACAAATCCATTTTTTCAAGCTCCCCAGATGATTCCAATATGAAGTTAAGTCAAGTCAATGATATGCATTCCTACACATAACCTGAATATACAATTTTGCTAGATGTAAAAGTAGTCTGGGTAATATATATGAATTATCATGAAAGATGAAGATTTTTAAGTACATAAAAGTGGAGTTGTGCATTTCATTAACAAGCTTGGGTCATCATTGAAATAAATACAAAAAACTCCACAACGATAATGGCATTTAAGCATGTTCTTGTCATATCCCAGAATACTCCCATTATCCCATTAAGATGTTACAAAGGAAACGATGTTCAGATATGAAAACTCAAGATTGAAATATAAGACAGATGCAAAAATTAGGCAGTAGAAGAGGCAAGGTTTTTGGTTGCAGGTACTAGGTATTGCCATCTTTTCCAGCTCACACATCAAGAAAAGATGGCACAATAGTTGAGATCAAGCTGTTTTGCTGATGAGCCTCTGCAGTGCTTTCTTGATATCTCTGTTCCTCAGGCTGTAGATGAAGGGATTCAGCATGGGGGTGACCACCGTGTACATCACTGAAGTCCATGCACCCTTCCGGTCTGAAGATGAGACAGCTAAACTGAGGCTCGCTCCAAGGCCCGTTCCATAAAATAAACAAACAACTGACAGGTGAGAGCCACAGGAGGAAAAGGCCTTATACTTCCCACTTGCAGATGAGACTCTCAGAATAGAGGAAACAATTCTTATATAGGAGTAAAGGATCCCTGAGAGTGGAATGCCACCAACAATGACAACAACACAATATACCAATATCCTAATTGTGGAGGTGTCTGAACAGGCAATTTTAAAGAGCTGAGGAGAGTCACAGAAGAAACTATAAATTCCCACATCTGTGCAAAACTTAATCTGTAACACAAATGTAAGTTGCAGCTGGGAGTACAAAAGGCTGAGGCAGAAAGTTACAAAAACTAGCAAGCCACAGAGACGTGGGTTCATGATGACTTTGTAGTGCAGGGGGTAACAGATGGCCACAAGCCTGTCATAAGCCATCACACTGAGTAACAGATTATCCACACATGCAAAGAGATAAAAAAATGCAACTTGTGCCAGGCAACCCACATAAGGGATGGATTTGTTCTGCATCTGGATGTTCACCAGCATCTTGAGGATCGTGGTGGAAGTAAAAGCAATGTCATCCAAGGAGAGGATGGAGAGGAAAAAGTACATGGGAGTGTGGAGGCGAGGGTCTGAGCTGACCAGCAGGATGATGAGCAGGTTCCCAGACACAGTGATCAGGTACATGAAAAGGAACAGCCCAAAAATTAATGGCTGGAGTTCTGGCTCAGAAAGGCCCATGAGGAGGAATTCTGAGATGTCTGTTAGATTCTGTGGCTCCATATACCTCAGACAAATTTTGGACCAAAAAAAGAAAAAGAGGATTTTTAAAAAGAAACAATTTAACAAGCACCATGTGTGGTGTATTTTGAATTCAAGAAACTCACAAATAAACCATGAAAATTCACAAGCGTTCAACCTGAGGACCTAATATCCCCATACCATCAGCAATATTACTCGGTTTTTGCAAACCCAACTACTGCACTTGTCAGAATCCTTTCCCCATTGTTTATGTGCAATTCACCTCTTTCTGTACACACCCCCCTTTAGAAACACTACACTTCAGAAAGTTAGAATAGAAAGGACATTTTAACGAATCTATACAAGAAGCAATGTATTAGGCCCCTCTATGAGGCAAACATATGCAATAAGAAATAGCCTGATTTTAAAAGAAAAAAATAATAATTAAAGGACACTAAGAAGTATGTGAAGTCATAAGGTGGGATGGATTCTAAATTATGAGATGTTCATGATGAGATAAAGAGTTTATATGTCAATTATCTTCACTGACTTTCATAATTCTTTGATTTTCTAACTTTTGTCATGTAAGAGATACATGGTCATTCAAGATTGTGGGTTGCCTTTAAAAATCTTTGAAAGTACATATCCTTTCCTTGGCTTTAAAGGACATCAAATTTTGATAACTTCGTGTTTGATAAATGCAGAAAATCATACACTACTGCTGATTCCAAAGATGTTTATCAGATGAACCAATGATTAAGGTATAAAGCATTTTTAAGACACATTCTGTTGCTGTTTTTCACTGTGTGCAGTGTTATTTGCATCAATGCTGCACCAACTCAGGGAAATGTCATGTATTCAGTTGTTTTTTTCTTTTATTTCAATCCATCCTGTATTGGCTCAATGAAATGCTTTATATGTGTCTCATACTAAATGTTTGGAAAGCATTGTTTAATTATTGAATCAACACTCCTATTTGCAATGGAGAAAATTAGGACCAAGGCAAATCCAAAGCCGGGTTTGAAACCCAGCCATCTTAGGCTTACTTTAAAACTTACCAAGTCAGTCCTTCCTTATGAGAAGAAGTGGAACTCTCCTCACTTCAGTTCCCTGATGGCAACACACTTCTTCATTTCTCTAGATAGGTCCAATTGGATCTATTGTGGGAAAACTTGAAAATGAAATGAGCAGAGGGTAGTATGAAATAACATGTTACATTTCATATTTTGCACACTTGTTGAAATACATTTATTAATTAACCCCCTTACGTTTAGAGTTAAATGGATTCTGACTCATAGCAACAACCTTTGGGTTTCCCAGGCTATAATCTTTATGGAAATAGATTGCCCAGTCTTCCTTCCAAAAGAAATGAGATTGAATAATACACATAGCATTCTTACATTAGTTGTTCTCAATGCTATTTGATTATTATAATTATCTATGGATCTTTTTAAAATAAAATGATGAACTTGCCACATCCTAAACTCAAAAAACTAACTCACTGCCATCAAGTCAACTCAACCCATAGTGACCCCTCCTTGGGTTTCCAAGGCAGTTATCACTACGGAAGTAGGATTGCCCAACCTTCCTTCCGAGGAACCCATTAAATCTGACTCCACATGTGAATCCCACTATCATCTTGAAGTACAGCCAAACATGAGCACTATTGCTTAAATTACTACATGCATTTAGCTAGTACTCTATCAATGCAACCTACTATCATCATCAATAGCCACTCTTGACATTAATTATGTGAACATGTAAAAATATTTGTTTCATAACTCACATTTTAGAAATTTTAAACATTAAAATTAATATTAATTAATAAACATTAACATTAAATTAAAACTTGAATTTTCTTGCTTTCTGTGTAATGCCTTATTCTTCCATAACCTGTTCTCCAAAAGGCAATCTCTATCATAAATTTGTAAATTTTGTGATTATATTTCCTCTCACTATTTTCATAATACTAGCATTAACTTATGCATCTATAACCAGTTTTCTTGAAAATGTTCCTAAAATGTGGAATACTACACTTATTTCTTCCAAAGGTTCTCATTAACTGCAACATTGTATTTTACATTTCTCTGGGAAAGAGTAGCAGGCCGGAAGAGCAGGAGAAAGGGGATAAAACCCAGGAAGCCAAAGAGAAGAGCAATCAGCCAAAGGGATTAGATGAGGAGGGGAAACTCAGGGATGCCCAAAGAAGCAGGCCAGAAGAGCAGGAGAAAGGGGATTAAAATCCAGGAATCCAGACAGAGGAACAATCAGCCATAGGGACCCAGGTGGGGGGGATACAAGGGGTCTCTAACAGCAGGACAAACTTTTCTGTCGGTTTGTCCTACTGTGGTGACATGTGCACGTGAGTTTTGAGGCTGAACCTCTGGTGTTTAAAACCCAGCGAGATGCACCTGGTGCATGGGTAACAGCCCAGTTATAGACTGAGACAGACTAGGAAGAAGGAAGAGGCCGTCCACTTCTGAAAGAATTGGCCAGGGAAAACCTTATGAATAGCAAAGAAACACTGTTTGGTACATTACCTCACAACTTTAGGAATAGTCCGTTTAGGCTAAAAGGCTTGCAAAATAGGACTGGGAAAGAGCTGCAACATCTGAGTAAACCCAGCCTTACTCATGGAAAAGAGAAAGCTTTCGAGACCTTCATTTGCTGATGTGGCACCACTCAAATTGAAGAGAAACAGCCACGAACATCCATTAATCATCGGAACATGTAATGTATGAAGTATGAATCTAGGAAAATTGGAAGTTGTCAAAAAGGAAATGGAATGCATAAAGATTGATATCCTCAGCATTAGTGAGCTGAAATGGACTGGTTTTGGCCTTTTTGAATCAGACAACCATATGATCTACTATGCCAGGAATGACAGTTTAAAAAGGAATGGTGTGGCATTCATCATCACAAAGGAGGTTTCAAGATCTGTCCTGAAGTACAATACTGTCAGTGATAGGATAATATCCATACGCCTACAAGGAAGACCCATTAATATGACTGTTATTCAAATTTATGCCCCAACCACCAAAGCCACAGAGGAGGAAATTGAAGAATCTTATCAGCTTCTACAGTCTGAAATTGACCAAACATGCAATCAGGATGTGTTAATTATCACTGGTGACTGGAATGTAAAAGTTGGAAACAAAGAAGAATCACTGGTAGTTGGAAAATTTGGTCTTGGTGACAGAAATAATGCTGGAACTCGTATGGTATGGGAAGTATATATATCTATATCACACAATTTATTCTTATGGATCAAAGGATCATGTCCTTTGTCGATTTCTTATTAAACCATCATAGCAATTCTTCTACTCTCCACATCTCACAACTGCAAATTTCTATGATATGAGCATGAAGCATAAGTGTGTGAGCTGTACAATTTTTTTTTTTTAACCAATAGAAAATCAGACACAACTGTATGTTCTTATTGTCACAGCATGGATTCAGAAGTGCCCATGAAGCTTACCTGGTTATGGTCATTGCATGGTAAATCTGCATCAAAATTACCACCCTGTATAGGGGATAATATTCCCACAGTTTCAGTTTCCTAACTATGCAGGAAAATACATGACTATTCATAAAACCTAATAATCCACAATATTCATGCTATAATGTTCCCTGTAAACTATTTGGACCATTGTATTAATTCACAGATCAACTCATCAACTTGTGAGAATAATAGTTAATGTTTCAATCTCCATTTTCTCTCTTGAATAGAAACACAATTATTCAGCTCTGGTTGAGGAGACGGAACCCTGGAATTTGGAACAGGGGAGCAAAGTCCAAATCCTATAATTTTCACATATTAATTTTGGACTGCCTATAAATCTCTCAATTTCTTTTGTTTTTTATCTGGAAGCAAGAGAATAATACCCATCACTAGGGAGCTCTGGTAGCATAGTGGCTAAGGCACTTGACTGCTAACCAGAAGGCTGGCAGTTCAAACCCACCAGCCACTCCTCGGAAGGAAGATGGGGCAATCTAGTTTCATAGTGATACTGCTTCGGAAACCCAAGGAGGGGTCGCTACGAGTCGGGTCCGACTCAATGGCACATAACAACAACAACAACAGGATGCATGTAGCAACTAACAAAGGCTAGGCACTTAATCGTACTTGGACATTTCTTAAATCAGGATTTGAATCAATATGAGAAGTAGAGGATTTATTGTTGAAATGTGATCCCAGTTTTGCTTCATCATATAAGAAAGATAGAAGGCTAATTGATCTAGGGCATTTGAGTGTAAAATGTAATGAAATTTTAAAATGTGCCCAGGTTTAACAATAAGATTTACTTTCCTTTCTCTTACAGAGTTTTTTTTTTCTTTTTTTTTTTTTTTTGGTTTTCATTTTTATGAAAATATCCACACTGTTTTGAAAATAATTGAATGTTTTGTATTCTATTAAATGTTGCTTAAAAAGCCCATGATATAGATGTATTCACATCCTTTCTTATATTTTGTCTGTTATCCTATCTAATGAAAAGACAGGCAGGAAACATTCATCATGGAACACATGTTGCCAATAATCTAATTTTGTGAACCAAGAAAGGGTCTATTCAATATTTAACACAGATTTGCTGTTGTCATTTTTGTTGCAGCCTACTCTCTGTCAAGCACAGCTCTGAGGAATCAGAAATGAATGAGGCTTCACTGTTTCCTTCCAGGCGTTTAATATGTACTTGGGTAAGAATAAAATTATAATGTTTTTACAGGGATCCAGACAAAACAAATCCTCAGGTCACAGAATACATTAGTTGACTTGTATGGGTACTTATCTAATTTATAGTAATAATTTTATGTAAGATTAATGTGCCCTGAACATATATTTAATCACATAGGTAATACGCATTATCTGTTCAATGCATACATCAATTCAGATCTGCATTTTTCTATGAACTCTAGTAAAGTTAGATGGCAATTTAGAGGTGGAGAGATAATAAGAACTTGCCCTATTATGCCCAAATATTAACAAAAAGAGAAATGATTCAGGATTACATTATAGGTCAGTGAATCCAAGCACAAATCATGTTCACTCTGCTTCCTCTTATTTCAAAATGTTTAGAGTAAGTTCAGAGAACGTCAACAAACATACAC